CCTCCCTCCTCCCTATTCCCTATTCCCTCCTCCCTCCTCCCTTCTCCCTCCTCCCTCCTCCCTCCTCCCTCCTCTCAAATATACTGGCTCGAGAGTCATATTTTGGCGATCCTCGAGGCCGCGTCCTCGCTTCCACGTAGCGCTTGGGGGGCACCGAGGCCACAGCCCATTCCTCGGGGGCCGTCTTTCTCGGTGGCGAAGAGGGCATCATGAGTATCAGGCCATGGAGCACCTGCAACGGGTGCGGCCGACACGAGTACAATGACGTGCTCGAGGCCGCAGATCGCTGGTGCGCCACATGCAATAGGAGAGTCAAGCTCTATGCCGGGAAGTCGGATAGTCAGCATCAGGGCAAGAAGGTCGGCGGAGGTGCGGTTCTACCAGCAATCAAGGCCGACCAGATTTCCGTGCTAGAGGAGGCCGCGAAGGTGGCGGGAGACCCGCTGCTCAAGCGCGCCCTCGAGTCGCAGATCAAAGTGCTCAAGGATGCGGCCAAGGGGCTTGCCCCAGAGGGCGCCCTGGCTAAGGCCAGTGGAGCCGTGCGGGACGCGGCTTTGAAGCATGATCAGGCCATCGCAGCACTCACCCGATGTCGGGATAACCTGATCAAGGCCGAGGAGCGTGAGCAGCAGGCAGCCTACAGCCTGGCAGCCGCAGAGGACGCCAAGCGATTGGCCACTGAGGCGCTGGGCAAGAAGATGGGGGTCATACCTTCGGAGCCTCCCTCGACCGACGAGAAGAATGACGTTATGTTTTTTTTTTTTTTTTTGGACGAGAGGTTCTTCGATGACATTGACGGTCTCGAGGCAGAGGAGTGAGAGAAGGTTGCTCTCCGCCAGCCCAGGGCAGATTTAGTTTCGGCACGTGATCAATTTCAGACCAAGAATAATCAGGTCGTTCAGTGGTTGGACAGGGCCAGGGAGCTCCAGCGGCAGATCACCAACCGCCTGGCCAAGAAGCGCCGAGGTGCTGATGGTGAGGCGGCTGAGCAGCCACGCCCCAGCGGCAGCCAAGGTGCCCGCCGCGACGCCAGCCGCGGAGGCTTCAGGCGGCGGCCAGGCAGGTGCCCCAGCCGCGGGAGCCGCGGCGGCGCATGCCGATGGCGGCGGCAGCAGCGACGAGCGCATCAGAGCTGCGGCAGCGCGGCTCAGCGCCGCCAAGCAGGCAGCTGCGCGGGCGGCGGCAGGCGCGGCCGAGGCGGCGCAGCCAGGCACGGGCTCTGGCTCGCGCCAGTGACACGCACGGGGTGGAGGTGGGCCTTTTGAGACCAGCCCATCTCCTTCAGCCAGTTCAGGTCTCTCGTCAGGGCTCAGTCGTATGAGTACTTCTCAGCCAGGGGATCCTCGCGGCAGTGGCGTGTTGCAGCCTGTCACATGCGAGGGAGTTTCAGGGTCCAAGATGCAGTCGGACGCATTCTTGCTTTTCGGCAGCGTTACCGCCATGGGCCGGCAAGCATGGGATATCATCACAGGGCCAGCGTGTGCACCGTTCACTAGTTCTTCCTATTAGAGACCCACATCGAGTCAGCGAGCGACTCGTTGCACTGGAAGGGCCAGGCTTCTAAGGCGCATTTGAAACTGATCGACAATCCAGCTAGGCCCACGGGCAACGGGCAGTCCGCGGCCACACGGGGCAGAGCCAACGAAGGAGGCGAGTGGATTCTGTGTCGGCAGCGTCTACAGCCCCAGCGGCTCAGCGAGTCCGACGTGGCCATGGAGGACTTGCCTGCTCCAGGTACTACGTACAACGACGGTTTCGCGGTGGGCATCATTCACATGCGTGGCTACTCGGTGGCGGCCATCAGTTTCTACGGCTTCAGCTCAGAGGGCCTCACAGGCAATAATCTCATCCGGTTCGCCAAGTTGGGGGCCCTCGTCACGCAGCTACGTCTACCGTGGTTCGTAGTGGGCGACTTCAATTTAGGTCCGAGTGTTTTGGTGGACCGCGGGTTCGTGGAGAAGGTTGGGGCCGTTATCTTCACGCCTGGGGTGGAGCATACATGTATTTCAGGCAAAGGGGGTGTGCTGGACTACGTCATGGCCAGCCACTCCTGCGTGCCCTACATCGTTCAGGTGTCTGCAGGGACGCCGCATTGCGGGGTGCAGGTCCGTCTTCGCAGCTCAGTTTGTCAACTCCTCTGCGGGGAGCTTGTCGTCGCCGCTCGTCTTCCTCAGGCTCCTCGGCCGCAGACCCAGCCTATTCCAAGGTCCAAATCTAGCAAGGCCAAGTTTCAGCGGGCCATGGCAAGGCAGGCGTCTCGCATCAAGCAGCAGGAGGCAGTCGAGGAGATGTTCGGGGACCTCGCCACATCGACTCGTGAGCCGAACCAGGGAAGTGCCGTGGGCGCGGACCACGAGCGCCTTGGGGAGGAACATGTTAAAAT